ATTATTACTATTATGTAGTAAGGGTATTATTTATTTATTTCTTTTTTTTTTTTTTTTCTTGTTTACCTCATCGTACACCTAAGCACACACCTTGGTATAAAGGTTATGTATTTTACATTAACAAGCCAGTACTCTTTTATTATTCATCAATCATCAATGAGGTCTATAAGGCAGACTGCGGTGGCAGCTGCTGCAGCAACTGCTGCTGTTGTTGTTGCTGCTGCTGCTGCCGCAGCAGCAGCAACAACAACAACAGCAGCAGCAGCAGTTGCTGCAGAAGCCGTTATACTGCAACAAAAGAGGATGGAGTTACTAAATAGTTGGAGGTTTCCTCCTCATTAGTTGTAGGCATTCTTCTTACTCTTTTTTCCTTCTTTTCTTCCTATCTATAGATATAAATAATTATATTTATTATTTAGTTATATCTATATATATACATACACGGTATAAGGAGAATAAAGGAGGGAGGAGAGAGAGAGGAGAGAGAGGGGAGAGAGAGGAGAGAGAGAGGAGAGAGCATAGTTGCATGCATGCATAGTTATATATATATATATTAATTAATAAATAGTTATTATTTATTAATTAATAATAATTATTAATTAATAATTATAATTAATTATTAATTATTATTAATTATTGAATTAATTCATCCTTTCTACTTTTTGCATGCGAATTGTTGCTGCTGCTGCGGCCGTCAACTGTTGGCAGCTTGCGAGTTTATGGCCTAAGGAGGCTACCATTGCATGCGTGTAGGGGTCCATGTGCTGCTGCTGCTGCTGTTGCTGCTGCTGCTCTTGCTATTCCTCTTAGGGATGGTTTGCTGCAGCAGCAACAATCAACAACGAGTTGCCTGAGTCATTATTATGCATGCATGCATGCATGCATGCATGCATGCACAAGGCTCTGTTTATTCTCTTATGTTTTCTTTTCTTGGTGTGCATGTTTACCTACAGAGACAGTGAGAATAAATAGATATTATTGCGGTGTATACGCAGCTAGCTATATATAGTTGAGTAGCTAGCTAGGTAAGTAGCTAGCTAGCGTAGCTAGGGCAGGCAGTATAAATATATGCATGAATGCATGCATGCATGGATATATTTATATATAAATATATAATTGTGTATTATTATATGCAGATGATGGATCCTTTTGTTGCATCTCCTTCTATGATTACTAGCGGAGATGGATGGACAGAGCATATCTCTAAGGAAGGAAGAAAGTATTATTATAATACCCTTGTATGCTTCCTCCTCCTCCTCCTTCTGCTGCTGTTGCTGTTGTTGTTGCTGCTGCTGCTGCTGCAGTTGTTGCTGTTGTTGCTGCTGTGTTACAGTAGATTAGTATGTTTCTTTGTTGCTGCTGTTGCTATGCTGCTGTTGATCTATCCCTGTATCCTGTCTCCTCATATCCCTGCTGCTGTTGCTGCTGCTGCTGCTGCTGCTGCTGTTGCTGCTGCTGCTGCTGCTGTTGCTGGTGCTGCAGACACAAGAGAGTCAATGGGGTAAGCCATTATCCTTACAGACACCAGAAGAGGCACAAATATTATTAAAGACAGGATGGCAAGAATTCTCTAGTGCAGATGGCAAGTCTTATTGGTTCCATAGTACAACAAAAAGGAGTGTATGGACTACACCTAAGGAAGTAGAGGAAATGCTTAAGGTAATTTATTTATTTATTTTTATTTATTTATTTATTTTTATTTATTTATATTTATTTATTTTATATTATACTGTTTATATATGTATATATGTATATTGTGTATATATTCTTTTTTCTTGTACTTTA